GGTTTCCCAGCACTGTAGGTGAGTTCAGCCTGTTCTAGAACCTTGTATGCAGGGGTTCATGCCTTGCTTCTTTTGCTCAACAGAAAGAATTTTGAGATTCATTGATGTTGGGGCCTGTCTTGCTCTGCTTATTAGTATTGCATTGTCTGGATATACCCCAACATATTCCCCTGTTGATAGTCATTTGTGTGGTTGATCTTTTACTTTAAAGAGTAATTAGTCAAGGGCCTTCCAGATAGCTCAGCAGACCAAAGCACCTACTTAGACAGGTGCAGGGACCTGGGGCACACTGAGAGGGTGATTGAGACTGGGCATGGTGGAGCACGCCTGTAATCCCAGCACTTGGAAGGCTGAAAACAGGAGGATCACTATGAGTGGGCTCTATGGAGTGAGACCCTGTAGACCCTGTACTAAATATATAAAAAGGGGAAAAAGTAATTAATCAAAGTAATAATTATAAGATTAGTTCTTTGTACCATCCCTCATTTTATTGTGGTGCAGGGGGTAGAGTCCAGAACTTCACACATGCTAGGCCGTCTGCCATGGAGTTGCATCTGCAACCTTACCCTTGTCCCTCTGCTTTTTTTCTCTTTTTTTTAACATTCTTAGAATCACTTTATTTATTTATTTATTTATTTATTTATTTATTTAAATGTATTTGGTTGTTGCAGGGTCTCACTATGCAGCTTGAACTTGTACTGATCCTCCTGCTTTCAGCCTCCTCAGTGCTGGGATTACAGGCCTGCACCACTATGCCAGGACTCTGTGGCTGGCTCAGCCTGCCCTAGGGGTGGTGCTTATGTGGCTGGGATCAAGCCATCGTCCCTGTTCTTGCCTAAGGTTGCCTAAGCAGGTGCTTTAGTCCCCTGAGGTAACTCACCAATCCCATACCTTCGTCCTTCTTAATTACCGTGAGTTAATTTAAACCTGGGCCACTGTGTGACCACCATTGTCATTCATACCGGCAGGGAAAATAAGGTCAGTAAATAGAAATATTTAAGGTTTGTCTCTTATACACATTCTTCACCCCAACTTCCTCTTCCCACCAGCTCTGGAGTGAGGTGGCTCAGGAGATGGCAGAACAAATGGCCAAATAGCAGGGGAGGGGTGGCAGGGACGCCGCAGCAGCCAGGGAGGCTTGGTGTGCCTACTCACTGTGCCTTCGGCTTTTTCAGGCCCTTAAACAGGTATGAATGATTCTTCTGTGACGCATGAGCATGGTTGCCCCAGGTTTAAGTCAAAATAAGCTTTCTCAAGGGTTTTTCTTGACCACTGACTAAACTAATCTGAGGCCCACCAGTTGGTGGAAAATCAAGCTCTGCAGTCTTCCAAGAGTGAAATCAGAGTTCCCCAGACCCCTGGTCCCCATTCATCCTGTGTGCTAAAGCACCATGAACCAGAGAACATCAGGACTGGGTGCGACTACACCAAGGCCTCTCCAAACACACACTAAAATACTCCATCCTATTATATATACCCTGCTAGCAAAATAAAACCAAACCCTGCTGTTCTTGGACAGCCTGGTCCCCAAATGCAAATCAGTCACTTTGCCTGGGAAAGAAACAGCCAGATCCGTGTTCCTGGAGACAAAAGTGTCTGAGTGGAACTTAGGAAGAGACTGTACTATATTTCCTAAATTGCATATTTTGTGCTTGCCGGATGACTTAAGGGATTTTTAGAGGCATCTTTGAAAGCGCAGGAACTTCACCTTGTGCACGGGCTTCATGTGAGACCTGCTTTTGCACAGAGAATTTTCATGTACAAATATGTTTCCCTCCTTCGATCCTCATACCGACCTCTGGGCACACGGGGCCACTCTCGGTATTCCCTGTATGGGGTCCCCAAAGCCCAGATCTAATGAGAGGGCCAGGAGAGGCTAAGCCAGCCAGCAAAGTCACAGTTACCAGGGGCTGCTATCTTTATTCAAAATGTTAACAGTTTGCTCATCACGGAATCTTTGCCTCAGCTTTGACTTTAAAACATATTATTTCTCTTGATGGCTTCATTTTCTTCACTGAAGGCTAGTGACACCCTTGCCTCCCTGGTTCCTGCTCCAGGTCCTGGGCACTGCGTGGTGAATGGGTTAGATTGATTCATATATTCATTCATTTATTGCATATGAAAAAAGGGATGAATATCAATAATTTCATACGGTCCAAACTTACGACCCTCTAAGGAGGTAGCATAGAGCTTCCTTCGTGCTCTCTACTGCCTGTGAGCGCCTCATTATTCTGCTCCGTGGGCCTCAGGCTGGCTGAAAAATGCTGCCACCCACGGCGACATAGTAAGACTAGAGCTTCCAGCTGGGGTGGTGGTGTGCACCATCCTAACGCTCCCCTGGTGCTGACCGCAGGATTAGGGGCCCTGGATTAAGCCAGAATTAAAACAGGGTGTAGAAGCAAATTCTGATGCCAGCCCTTTCTAGCTGTAGAAGGGGAGCAAGTTATAAGTTGTGTGAGTGTTGAGTAAAAGACGCGAATGTCTAGCACATTGCCTGGCATGACAGCACATCCTGGGTCCTAATTTTCCAGGACAGTGGCGGGGAACCTAGGGCGAATGTGCCATCGTGGGCCGTTTGTGTCATTGAAAGCTCTAAAAGGTTCACCATTGCTGCTCTAAGAGTTACAACTGTGTGTTACAGTTCAGAGAACTAAGTCCACCAATGTCACGCAGCAAGTCGGGAAAGCCTTCAGTTAGGGAGCCTGGTCGGTCTAGCGCCTGCAGCCGGAGCTGCGGTGGCAGCGCCTGACGTCCACCAGAGGCTCCCTGACCAGGGCCCTCACAGACTAGCTCCTAGAATTTTTTCTTCGGCACTGGCAATTGACCCAAAGCCTTTTACACTGTCCTACATCCCAGCCCGTTAGTTATTGTTGATATTGAGATAGCATGTGCGCTGATTGCTACTCTGTGTCAACCTAAGAAGTTTAGAAGTTTAAATAAGTGGCTCAGCAGGGAGCCAGGGCCCTTACTTTGTAAACATCCTCATCCTGTGCAAGAGGAGAGCAGAGATGGTGTGAGTGTCACCACCCACCCTAGGAGGGGGCAGCCTGCTTACAATATAAGGGAGGGAAAGAGGCTTGCTCCCCTCCGCCTTTCCTCCTGTTGCTTTGCTGTCCTCTGCTGCCCTGCCTAGGATTGTGGCCTCTGTCCATGCCACCCTGCCTTGGACTGAAAGCTCCAAAAACTATGAGTTAAATAAAGCTTTCCTTCCTTAATTTTGGATGTCGGGTAATTTTTCTCAGTGGCAAAAGAAGAGTAACCTAGACAGTCTGGTGTGAATTGAATTATGCAGACTGGACTGGAACTTGTCACATTCCTACCTCAGTGCTGGGATTATAGGCATGCGCGCCCCCATACCTGGATCACAGTATTTTTTTAATCACCCTCTTCCTACTTGAGGCCTAGCACTGAGGCACAGGCAAGGGCAGAGGGGAAGCCCTACCCCAAGAATGAGCAGTCCCTTGGCCTGGGGCTTTTTCTGTCCTGGGGTAGCTCCCTGCAGCCTCCGTGGCAGGCCACTGACTGTGTGTCCCACCCTCTAACCAGAGCTGCCAGCTGCCTTCACTTCCCCTCCGTTCTCCCCTTTAACCTCTCTCCTGCCCCAGCTTCTGTGTCCCCTTGGTCAAAGCCAGCAACTTCCCCAAAGCTGAAATTGTGGGTTCCACTGAGGACTCCGCTTCTCAGGGACTGCCCACAGCACACTTTCCTGAATTTCATGCCCCTTTCACTTTCTCCCATGCCACATACCAAAGAAAGGGACTTACACGCCACAGCCTGCTGTCTCCTCCTCACCTTCTCTGTCCCCAGTAGACCCAGGTTTCCCACCATAGCTGGGCCAGCCTTGCAAGTCCTACCTCTCCTCCTGCCCAGGGGGCCTCGCTTTATCTTGATCTCAGGGCCACCCCTCCATCCCTCTAAACCCACCTCTTTGGTTCAGGCAGTGAGGTCTTCTGGGATCCGCTCACCCGACCACCCTGCATCCAGGCCACTTCTGCCCTCTTGAGTGCTCCCATCACTGATGCTCTGCACAGCGGCTTCCTAGGATTCTTCTGTACCTACATCCATGTTTCCTACTGGACTGGGAGCACCATCCAGGCAACTCCCTGGTACCCAGCAGATTTGTCTCTAGTAACCATAGTGATGATTATGTACCTACCAGATGCCCACTCAAACAACTTGTATGATTTATTCTTTCAGTACAACTATTCAACATCTTATTTTACAAAGGAACAGCATGAGATGCTCGAAGCTCAAATGACTGCCCTCCCATTTCATGGAAGAAGTACAGTTTGAACTAGGCAGCCTACCTCCTAGCACTTGTGTCTTAACCAGGGATCCCTGGTATACACACCTTCCATGAGACAGAGGGAGAAGAGCATCCTCTGGCAGGGATCACAGCTCTCACCTGTGCTGGAGAGAGCCTAGGAGTGCATACACACACACACACACACACACACACACACACACACACACACACAGAACAGGGGAAACTAGAGGTGCTGAAATGGGTGGAAAGGGCTAGTGCTCCTTGGACTTCAGTGGGCACACTGATCATGTGGGGATCTGTTTAGCTGTATTTGGATCCAGTCTGTCCAAGGTGAGATCTGAGGCTGTGTGTCTTACACATTCCGAAATGATGCTGACCCTTTGGTTCAGGGACTGTACTCTGAGAGACCTTGGGACTGCCAGTGATGTCTGGACAAATGCAAATCTTGATTAGAAAGAAGAGAGCAAAAGACTTATCTGCCCTAGGGGTCCCCAGGGGTCCCACACAGCTGCCTCAGCCCCCCTGACACATACACACACATACACATACACACACACACACACACACACACACACACACACACACATTCACCAAGAAGCTACACTAAGCAGGAGCTCCACATGGGAAAAGCCCAATTTTGAGAAATGTCCAATCCTGATCATTTCAGGAAGCATTTTGCAGATTCAGAAGTCAGAGCCAAAGGGAGGTCCTTTGGGTCCACTAATAACCGCAGCAGTGAAGTGGGGATGCGTGGTTCCTCTTTGGGAACAATTTTGCTGGCTCTAGGGCTTTGGCCACCTATAAAGCTTAGCAATGGAAAGTAATGAAACCCTCAAAGAGGAAGAGTTCTTGGCGAACACTGAAGAAGGAGCAACTTTCGACCAAGCCATGCTAGCAAGGATGGAGACCTTCGAAATCAATGGTAAATACCACTCTGTAGTGAGAGAACTGCCGGGCACTTCAGTCTTTCTGCTGGTGGGACGTAAGAAAGGACACGTCAGGGTGGCACCAAGGCTGCGTGTGTACCTGTTTCTCACTGATATGTGTCTGGAATATATCAGCCTGGCATTTCTGAAATGCTAATGTTAGGTGCTGTGTCTTTCGCATAGTGTTTAAAACATTTGCCATTCCTTTAAATTCCACTTAAAGGATGTCTGATCCATGTTAATGCTTATTCTTTGCCTTCTACCTGGAGAGCATCCCGCTCCGCTATGCGTGGTTCTGTGCTCACATGGCCGTGCAAACCTGAGGGGTTAAAAGAATTCCACAGCACCGCAGCCAAGGGCCACGCATTTTTTGATGCAGTGGCTATGCAGTCCCTGAGAGTGCTGCTGTTGTAACTAATGTGTTAACCTAGGCGCATCTCGGGTTGGCGAGGATGTTACTAGCTTCAGAATTCGTTTGTCTTAGGATGAGCAGAGGTTTTAAGAATTCAGTCAAGCCGTTGTCTTATTTCCTTGTTCCGTGTTGCATAGGTGATAGATCTTTAAAAATGTTATAGAATTTGTCTCATATAAAGCCAGAGTCAGGCTTGCTACCCAACTGCTCTCTGACTGTCTGTCCTAGAGAACTCTCTTAAAATCCTCTTCCAGGGTGATGGTCCCACTCCCAGGCTTCTCTATAGATTTCCTACATGGGAACAACACCCCTGCTCTTCCTGCTGGCCTGTATGTCTCGGTCACAAAAGGGGCCAGGGTGCTGCCTGATGTATTGTACATTGCAGTGGTACTGAAAGATGTGTGTGTGTGTGTGTGTGTGTGTGTGTGTGTGTGTGTGAATATCTGTGACCATGGTCGGCTATTCAGAGCTTTTGACATCACAGAGGTCTAGATATCTATGGTATGTGACCTTCTAAGATACATAAGACAGTTTAGGAAGTTCAGCTAATTAAATGCATGCATGACATATCACCTGCTAGGTGCCACACTTGGTACCAAAGAAAAGACAGGAAAAGAAACACAACTGCTGGCCCTGAGGAGCCCTCAGTGGTGGCGGCACAAAGTTGTCACTAAGCTGACCTCTTCTACGTAGTCTGTCATCAGTTATGACTGAGACTTTCGCAGGACATCGTGGCAGGACCTGGTGTCTGACCTGGAGGCCAGAACCGACATACTTTTCAAAGTTTATAGAACAAAAGGGGTTTAAGTTAGAGAGTGGAGAGAGTGCCTAGGGCCGGGTGGGCACCACCTTTCTAAACCACCTCGCAAGGGATAGTCCAAGAAGTATGACTAGCTCTCTCATATTGGATGAAAATGAAGAGAGGAAGCTCCCTGGGCCTGAAGGAGGGGAGGCTGGGCAGGGGGTGTAGTGGGGCTGGACACCACAGGTGGCCTCTGAGGTTGCTCACTGTGGCAGATAGGGACAGGGTGAAGAGAGCAGGTGGGCTCCGAGAGGACCACAGCAGCAAGAGCTGACAAGGCACAGCGGCTGTAAGGAAGGGAAAGAATGTCCTGGAGAAACAGCTGGAGTCAGATCAGCAGGGTTGGATTGGAGGGAAAGAAGGGCAGGGAGGCAGGTGCAGGACTCGAGCACAAATCCCAGATTTCTGATTTGGGTTAGAACTAAAATTCTAGCCAAAAAAAGAGTGGGCAGGAAACCCCATACAAAGCCAACAGAGATGGAACGTTGTCTTCAAGCCTTGACAACTTCCTAGCTTTCACTACAGAAATCATGGATGATGTGGAATTTTCTAGACAAATGGCATTATGAACAATAATCACTGGGAGACCCAGAGACACAGTGACCCTCAGGGCAAGCTGTGAGGGATGAAGTTACCAGCTTTAGAGCTGGTTAGGTCTCAGCTCTTGGGCATTCTGTTTTGTCTGCTAAAGAGGCATTCTCTCTCACTCCCTCCTCCCTTCCCTTCCCTTCCTCCCTCTCCCATTCCTCTCCCCTGCCCCTCTCCTCCCTCTCTCTCTTCCTCTCTTTCTTCTTTCTTTATTTTTGCTTTCCTTCTTTGTCCTTCCCTTCCTTTCTTTCTCTTTCCTCCACCCTTACTTTTCTTTCTTTCTCTTTCTGCCACACAGTTTTGTTTTTTTTTTTTTTTTTTCTGAAAAATCACTACTTTACACCTTTCACCTACAGGGCACAAAAACATCATTGAAACACGTTTGCAGTGTGCTTATTTATTTTTCTCTATTGTTTCTGGTGCTGAAATGTAAAATGCTGCTTTTTCCTGCTTGATAAAATATTAAATCATGTTTTAATTACTCTAAGACACCAGGGAGATATTTTAGTTATACACTGCCAAACTTTTAGAAGCAAGCTTGAGAAGTGTTTGAAATATAGCCATATTATCTGACATTCCTCTAAAAGTGTTGAAGAACATGAATTTTCTAGGACAACCTAGAAGCAAAACATAGCCTGTGCCCTCCCCTGTCATTACCCAATCACTAGCAGCGAGCTCCCTTCCTCCCTTATCTGCTGGACCATCATTAAAATGCCTCTCTCTTCTCTCCCTCCCTTCCTCCCTCCCCCCTTTCTCTCACCAGTTTTTGAGGTATGGCTGACAAAAAAATTGTACATGTCCACAGTGTCCACATAATTGTGCAATGACAACGCGAACGCTGCTTGGGTTTCCTGAAGGGCCTCGATCGCAGCTCTGCTCTCACCCATGGTCCGGCAGAAGCCCAGGTTCCTCCTCCCGCATTGAAGTCCTGTCTGCCTTCCTCCTCAACCACAAAGCACAAAAGACTTCCTTCCCAGATGTCCCCATTGAGATGACTTCCTGGGGTGCATTGCTTCCGCCTTTTTGAAACTTAAGAACACCTGTCTAACTCTGGGTCCCCTGTCACCCTCGGGTGTGGCCGGTTTCTTAAGGACTTCCTCTTGCCATCTGCCATTCTTGTAAAGTTTGGCTTGTCAGCCCTCTCACTCCAGCTTCTCGACTCCTTCAGCCTCCACGTCTTCCTTTAGACATTTTCCCAGCAACTTCATCCTGAAGAACATGCTTCTTCTTTATTTTTATTTATTTATTTATTTATTTATTTATTTATTGCTCCCAGTGCCTTCAGGGCAGGTTTGGCTGGCTGGAGTTGTGGGGATCAAACCACAGTAACGTGAGCCACAGCAACCTGAGCCTGACTGCTTTGTTGAAGCAGCCACTTACAGAACTGAGCTAAGGGGCGGCCCCCAAGAGCATTCTTCTTGACAGAGAAAACTCAAATTGGGACTACAGAAGTACAGGTTTCCACTGCTGTACTGATAGGAAGCACTCGCACCCAGCAAGAGCCTAGCTGGCCTTTCTTCCTGCTCCAGGGATGACCTAAAGGCACTGCATACGTTCCCCAGTACACGTCAGCCTGCGCGCCTCCACCTTCCGTTCTGCTGATGTCGTCACTTTGAGCTCTGACTTGTTCTTTGCCGCGACAGCATTTCTCAACATCCTTAGCTTGGCTTTATGTACTAGAGCTTAAATTTTTTTCATGAAATAATTATATAGATTCATGGAAGCTGCAGAGAATGAAGATCTTTATGACTCTTCACCCAGGTCCTCTCAACAGTAGCATCTTGTGTAGCCTCGGTAAAATATCACAACCTGGAAATGGATACTGGCATAGTCCACAGAGCATGTCCCTCAGTTTCACATGCACTTGTGTGTATGTGCGTGTGTGTGTGTGTGTGTGAGAGAGAGAGAGAGAGAGAGAGAGAGAGAGAGAGAGAGAGAGAGAGGTCTCATGCAGTTCTATGCTTTATGGCCACACATACCCTCAATCACCCTAAAATAATCATTAATCCCTGACAACTACTGATAAATTCCCTAGCTCCATATTTTCACTGTTTCAGGAATGTTTTAGAAAGGACTTACACAGCGTGTACTTTTCAAAGATCGAGTTTTTTCCCACATAGAATAATTCAATTGACATCTATTTCAGCTGTTGGCTCTTCTTAATGAGCAGCACTCTGTGACATAAATGTGCCACAGTTTGTTCAACTACTCACCCCCACTGAAGGGCATTTGGCATGCTTCCTCTTTGTGACTATTACGAACAAAGCTGCTAGGACAGCTTATGAAGGCTTTCGTGCGAACATAAATTTCTATTTCTCTAGCATAAATGTTCAAAAAGTGCAACTTCCAGATTCTAAGTGGATGCCTAGTTTTATATGAAGCGATGCATTTGCCAGGGCGACTGAACCATTTCATGTTCCCACACATGAAGCTGATCCACAGCTTTGCCAGCATGAGGTATTTTTTCCAGGAACTGGCCCGTTTCCTTTAAGTAGTTAGTAATGGTATATTTCTTCTCTCTGTCTCTGTCTCTGTCTCTGTCTCTGTCTCTGTCTTTGTCACTCTGTCTCTATCTGTCTCTCTCTCTGTCTCTGTCTGTCTCTCTCTCCCTCCTTCCCTCCCTCCCCTCCACCACCCTGGGAATCAAACTCAAAGCGCTCACTCTGAGGATATTCTGAGGATATTCCCAGAGTGTTTTGTTTTTTACTTTGACACAGTGTTCTTAATTATTAATTCCCCAAGATAGACTCAAACTTGTGACCCTTCTGACTGAGCCCCTCAGAGTGCTGGGGTTGCCAGTGTCCACCACCACACTCAACACTTTTTTTTTAGTACTGGGGATCAAACCCAGGACCTTTCACTTGCCAGGCAGGTGCTTATGCCTCTGAGCTATCTCCCCAGCCGCCCTTTTGAATGGCTGCAGAATCTGTAGTAAAACTCCTCTCCCTACCCAGGCCTCACTTTTTCATAGTGCTCAGGATGAACCCAGAGACTTGTGTGTGTAGTGAGGGCTCGACCACTGAGCTGTGTCCAAATCTCCATTTCGTTTTTTATATTATTTGTTCGTGTCTTCTTTTTTAAGAGCATTTTTGTCACTCTTTCTACAGGTTTTTCAATTTTATTAGTTCCCCCCAAGAAATACTTTGTGTTTCATTGACTTTTTTTTTTTAATTTTACTTTTTTAATTTACTTTT